GAACGGTAGATAAAAGAATACCTGCAACAATTTCATTCGACATTATTTTGAATACATAAAATACAGAATTATTTGTTAAATTTTCTTTTAACCTTCAAACCGTGAAACCTATTTTCTAACGTTGTTCGCGAAACCGGTGCCTGAGTGCCCATAATGCATTTTAAAGGGAAATGTCAGTTTTTTCTTGAATTTTTATTTTCAAATGAAAATATTTCAGTATTTATTGAACCTTCAAACCGTTAATTGGGCACTGTGTGCCCAAAACCAACTTTGAATGCTTATATCTTAATTATTTCTTATCATAAATTAATGAAATGACTATGGTTCGATTGGTTGAACATTTGGCTACAAAAATTAGGTTAACATACCCACATACGCGCACTAGCTTACCACATATGCGCGTTAGCATGTGTGATACGCTATACGTAATATGGGTGCCTGAGTGCCCATATACATTTTTCGACAAATTGCGTATACAAATTAATGTGGGAACTATGAAATATACATCATTGGAAAGATCTTGAAAAGTACATGTAATTTGAGCTATAAAACATCAGAATCGATCATCATTTTATTAAAATATGGCCATTTTATCAATTCCAACGACCAAATATTGGCCAAATGCCGGCCCATTTTGAAGTTTTATATCAAAAATGGAATCTACTTTCAAGACCTTTCTAGTGATATACATAACTTTTTGATCCAACCTGCCGTTCAAAATCTCAATTTTTGACGTCAAAATCGGCCATAGTGGAATTTGTATGTATACATTTTTGCCTTCATTTTTATGAAGAGATCAACATTGCAATCTCCACTTTATTGAAAAAATTCCAAAAAAACTTGCTGTTGTCTTTCGTATTTCGATTTTTTATGACTTTTATCACATTTCAAAGTAATTTTCATACTTTTCCGATCAATAAATACTGAAATATTCACATTTAAAAATGAAATTTTTAGAAAAAAAAAGACATTTCCCATATAAAATCCAGAAAATATGCTAACCAACCTGGGCACTCAGGCACCGATTTTACGAACAACGTTAGAAAATACATTTTACTGTTTGAAGGCTAACATCAAATGAAAATGAATTATATGATATTATTCAGTCTGTGATTAGACGGTGAAATAAATAATAATAATAATAATAGATGTTAATGAGCCTTTGGAGAAACCAACCATATTTCATTTTTCAGTCAAATTATTTGAATATTCCAATTTAGGTATATTAACAATTCTTCATGTATCTATGGTTTCTTGGAATTCTTGATTAGATCGTCTAATCATTTACATATATAGATTTGCATCTGTGTAATGAACAAGCGAGAATTTACACAAGGACACTTAATTGTACGTTCACTGAGTTCGAAAACAAATTATTTTTAGAAAAAGTTATTACTCATCTTTTGGTTTTCATGCGCAATTTCCTTTGTGTCAATACGAGTTCATTTACATATCCAAACATTTGCACCTGTCAAAATAACAAAACGCGAGAAGCTCGAATTAAAAACATTTTTTCAAATAATTTGTTTGCGATTTCAGTCGTAAGGAATTTCGTTTTGCTGTACGTGGCATAGTAACCACAAGATAACAACATCTAATTTTTGACTATAAATAAGGCACCAAAATCGTGGAAATTTAGTTATTGTTCAAGTGATTCGACTAGAAACATGTCTAAGCAATTGATGGGTGAGTCTCTTCTAAGTTTTTTTTTCCTTCATTTTTTTTTTAAATTTTCATTTTTGACAATACTTGAGATTGTCTTTTAATCAATATTTTCTCTCCGTTCAGTTTGTTTGGTTCTGGTTGCGGTTTTGGGAGACCAATTCATGGTAACTTACAAATTTTTCTGTATATTTTTTGTATTGTGTCGATCGATGACATGAAGAGTATTTTTTCATTTTCGATATAAATTGACTTTTCGAAAACGAAGGAAAACCAAAAAAAAAAAAAATACCACGCGATTAATTACCCCAAATTTAAAGCAATGTCAATTCACCACTTTATATTGGCAAATGGTTTTTTTTTGTTTCAAAAATCCATTAATTTTACATTTCAATTCATTCAATTTGGTTATTCCAAACTAAGTACCATTTATGCGTTCCAATTTTTCAACTTGAAGCAAATTGAATGTGATGGTGGATCGGTTGACAAAGCAAAGGGAGCCATGACACAAGGTAAGATTGAAGCTAAATTTCTTTTCAATGTTTCATTCTCACTATTCGACATACAAAGCACCGTTTGATGCATTTTCCATCAATCTAACAAAGAATCCAGGCCAAAAGAACCAAAACTCAATTGATTCAAACCATTCATGACGAATTTGTTGCATTTTAGAAAATACAAAATGTAACGTTTCATTTAACATTCGTTTGACGTATAATTAGTTTAAGAAAAAAAAAAACAACGCGTTGAATCATCCATTCCAATCGTCATTGTATTCATATTCGCTATCAAGTAATATAATTACTCAAGTATAATTACTTAATTATCAGTTCGAAATTAGCATTTGTCTCGGGCGGTATTGTTGTTTTTTTTCGAATACTACACCAATACGGAATCGTTTTTTTTAAAGTGTAACGTGAAATATTCGCTTCAATAAAAGAAAAATGAAAATTTTCTGGTTGAATTCGGGATTTATATTTTAAAAAATAGGCTCAATTTATGGGTTATTTTATGGGTTCTCGACATAAGTTACCTTTTTTTTTCTGTGGAATTGAAGAAGTCCTCCAAATAGCTGAACACTCATTTCGCTGTCTTTCTACACAAGAGCGTGAAAAGTTCATCTCGCGGATGTAAGACATTTGCCTTTGATTCACTTCACTGATTTATTTTTTTTTATTTCAAGGAAACAAAAAAGGCGAAAGCAGCCGAACAGCTCTACATGTCGCTGCTGAGAATGGTAGATCTGGAAAACTATGCTCATCAAATGGGAAATTGATTGAATCTATTTCATTGATCTGTTTCAGGTAACTTGGAGGACGTTGGAAAGCTCCTCACAAAAGGAGCCAAAGTTGATTCGACAGACGAAGAACAGCGTAAACCTCTTCATTTGGCTGCTATGAATGGTAATTTTGAATATTTTCATGAATAAGAAATAAGTTTGATCTCATTCATTGACTGGTGTAAATTTTCAGGACACAAGGATGTCGCTGAAAGGCTTATCACGAAAGGAGCCAAAGTTGATGTTTTAGACAATTATAATCTGACACCTCTTCATCATGCTGTTATGAATAGTAATTTTGAATATTCATTTTCGGTAAATAAGAGAATGGTTTGATTTTTTTCATTGATCTTTGCTATTTTTCAGGACACAAGGATGTCGCTGAAATGCTCGTCACGAAAGGAGCCAAAGTTGATATTAAAGACTTTTATAATCGGACACCTCTTCATTATGCTGCTATGAATGGTAATTTTGAATATTTTCACTTAATGAGAGATAGACTTGATTAACATTGATCGATGTTATTTTTCAGATCAAACGGAGGTTGTCGAATTGCTCATCGCAAAAAAAGCTACAGTTAATCCTTTAGACATTCTTCAGCGTACACCCCTTCATTATGCTGCTGAGAATGGTAATTTTGAATATTTATTTTCGGTAAATAAGAGAATGGTTTGATTTTTTTCATTGATCTGTTCTATTTTTCAGGACACAAGGATGTGGCTGAAATGCTCATCACGAGAGGAGCCAAAGTTGATTTAGGAGACTCCCATGATCGGACACCTCTTCATTATGCTGCTGAGAATGGTAATTTTGAATATTTATTTGGACAAAATGAGTAATTAATCTAGTCTTTCTCATTGGTCGATATTATTTTCCAGGCAACTTACAGATCATTAAAATCCTTGTCGCCAATCAAGCCAGTCTTACTAATAAAGATTATCTACATGAGACACCTTATCAGATTGCTTTGAATAGTAATGTTGAACATTTTTGTTTAGAAAAAAACGTAATTCAAACAATATTATTTTTCAGATAACAAAAAGGCGGTGGCTGACTATCTTAAGGAGACTGAAGAAAAAAGACGCCAAAATTAAAATCAATTGAAAAATCAAATTTTTTCCTTTGAGTTCCGTATTCGATTGTCATGTAGAATATTAACCCGCAAACGGGCAAGCTAAATCACTTAAGACCGAAATGGACCCATAGTTTTATGGCTGTAAAATTGAAAAAAAAACGCAATATATTTTCAAAAGTGAGACTGTGCTGGAAGCTAGAAAGATGCATCTCTCAAACGTGCCATATGCCGAAAAAATTGAATGAAATGTACTACTTTTTATGATACATTCCTTTTTACACCGAAAACATTATCAATTCTGGTGGAGAAATGACTATTTTTTGCGTTTTTTGACATTTGACAAAAATCCAAATGAATACATGTCTCTGTAACTTTTCTAAGTTTCATCCAATTTTATTGGTATATTGCGCATTAAAATGGTTTTCGGAATAATCCTACTTTGGATGATATATTATGTATTCCCAATTTTACAACCATAAAGCCATGGGCCCATTTTCCCACTTGTGTCCAGAAAATATATTTAGCTCCACGGAGTGCCATCTAATGATTGATGCTCAATTTTTTTTGGCTGTAATACGTGGAATGGATCAAAGAGTACAATGCATCACCTTTTCCGCACAAGAATCTAGTTTTTATATATTTATTTATTGAAAAACCATCTTCTCGGACCACAACGGAGCCACTTGCCCGTTTGAGAGTTAATTTTAATATATTTTTGTCAAACTTTAACCATATTAATGTTGCTGCTTGGTTCGACTATATCGGTTATGATGTGAAAAGTTGATAAACCATATACGAATGCTAAGAAAAAAGCTGTAAACTTCCGAATACACTCATAATTTCAAGGAAAACCTCAACTGTTTTATTTCAAAACCTTAAGTGTTCAGAGACATATCCACCCGACCATCGCTAGTATAGTGGATAATATTAAACGCACCCATTCATTTGTCATTGTTCTCAAATTCCACGCGAACAAATTACATCAAGTCTCAATGGGAATGGATGCGTTTAGTATTATGGTATCTGACACTGGGTTGCTGTGCCCATTGACACAATACTAGCGATCGTTGTATGTACCTTTCGGTGCATACGTACATTGGCTTAATTCAAAAACAAATGGTTTCTCATTGGAGCTAGTTGTTTCTATGTAAAAATTCAGATGAATATTGAGCCTGCGCATTCCATCCATGAAAAAATAAGCAAATAGATGAAAAGAGAGAAGAATTTTTTGAATTGTTTGTTTTCG